AATCTTAGATATTACTGACTCAAACAGTGGGCGAAAATAAATTAAAGTGCTCACAAAATGAAAACGATTGTCGAAAGGACGTAAATGTGCGTAATTATGATCTCTGTACCCGATAATATAATGATGATGATAATAATAATAATAATAATAATAATAATAATAATAATAATAATAATAATTATGATAATAATTATGATAATAATAATAATAATAATAATAATAATAGTGATACTTTTATAGCTTGGATTATAGCTTTAATTGTTTTTCTTTTTTTTTTTCTTACAAAGCTTTTATTGTACATGTGTACACATGAGTTGGTCATCGGACCAGCAAGAAATTGATTGTGCCGCAAATGTATATTACAGTCAGTATTTGCTTAACAACAATACAATTACAAAATAAAATCAATAAAACAGAGAATACTAGGCTCCTATTGTAATATTGATACCTATTCAAATTCCTTCTTCTTTTTAAAGGTTGACCAAAAGGGTTACACGTGAAGAGACATCCAATGTCCCATTATCAAAATGCTGTAAAAGAAAGTAATTTCAACATTTCACAAGGGAGACTAATAAAGGTTCAAGCAAGAGGCGATATATGATAACAATTTAATGGCAATTACGATCAAATCCGTTGCTATGGAAACGCCCATGTTGTAAAAGTCAGCCTATGAATACAGTATACGACAAGGCAATAAAGTAGATATAGTAACTGCAGTTGCGTTCATTCATTCACGGCATACATTTCAGGCTGGCGCTGTGTGTTAATTTTAATTGGGACTATTTAAAAAAAAATATAATTATTTGCAGTACATCTGGTAAAACTAGGCCTACACACAACTGTACTTACGTTTGTCTTCATTTTGTAGCTGTAGTGTTGCAGGATAATGATAATGTTGCGTTTGTTGATCAGATGCCCTTGCATCTCAGGAAAACGAGTCTCCCAAAATACTACTAATTAAACCACAGATGAATATATACGAACCGCACAAAATGATTGCTATTGTGCAATGGTTGCTGCTCACGTTACTGTTAACTGTTTCTTTTACATATGGTGTTCAAAACAACGAGAGAAAAGTTGCAGTTATGAAGGGAGAATTAATGCTTGGCGCTCTGTTTTCACTGCACGAACGTCCACAGGCCGGATCTAGGATTTGCGGAAAGATTAGAGAACAATACGGCATCCAGCGAGTTGAGGCTACATTTAAAACAATAGAAAAAATCAACAATAACAGCAATATTTTACCCGACATAAAGTTAGGAGTAGAGATTCGAGATTCCTGTTGGTACGAACAGGTAGCGTTGGAACAGAGTATAAAGTTTATTAGTGATTCTATACAAAGAGACGCTGCTCCAGATGCGAAACAGGAGAATTTAAATTGCAGCAGGAAATCGACGAAACCAATAGTGGGTGTTATAGGCCCAGGTTCAAGTCAAGTCACAATACAAGTTCAGAATCTCCTTCAGTTGTTTTCTATTCCACAAATTGGTTATTCCGCAAGCAGCCCTGATCTAAGTAATAAGAAATTATATGAATACTTCTTGCGAGTCGTACCATCGGATGAACTTCAAGCGCGTGTAATGGTGGACTTCTTAAAACAGTTTGGCTGGACGTACGTTCATGCTGTACATTCAGACGGTAAGATTCGAATTTTTATTCCCCCAAGCACACACACTCACACACACTATA